CGAAGGCTGAATACCTACAAAGGTATCTATCTTCTGGCAATGAAGACGAGAAGAAAAAGAAAAAGAAGAAGAAGGTTAAAGAACCGCCTCGTGGATCAGGGTATCTTTTGGAGTAGTATGTGTCACGTATTTTGTGCTCATTACCATTGATTTGCTAATTTTAACATTTCTCATTAGGTTGCGTATTGTGGAAGATGATGCTTTTATAGCAGTTTCTGCAAATTACAAGGATTACGACACAGATGAGGAAAAGGAGGATATAGAAATCATTGAAAGCATAACGAGACAGGTTTGAGTGAAATTCAGCATTCTATCTGTTCCCGTTCCTGTATGATCTTTTATTTCACTCTTTTAAGGTAGAGGCGAAGGCTAGAGAAGCGCCAAAGTTCAGAAGCTCTTTCCAACCACTTGACGAGGTCAAACAAGAACCTGGATCACCATCAGTTGCAGAAAGTCGTAAGTTTTGGAGTGCAGAACAATTGGAGGGTCAAATCTATATTTGCTTTTTTAAACTTTTCCTTTTTAGGAACTAAAGGACCTGAATCTAGCAGTTCCTCAAGACAGAATGGTAAGTTCCCTATCCTCTTCTTATCTGGAGAAGAAACGGCGTGTCCCTATCCTCTTCGCTTTTTTAAACGGAAAAAATGATGCACTTGCACTCTCAAGAAAGCAATTTTAGATTTTTTGGGGCTTTGGACAATCCGTTTCTCATCCAAATCCTTAGCTCATCTTCAATACTTTTTCACTGTAGTGTCAAACCTGAAAGAACGCGCGGTTTTTATTGTTTGAGCATAGATTTTAAGTTCGAAAATAAATGAAGTAAAATAAAGAATAAAGTGAGATAAATGAATACATGCTGTTTGCGCGGTCGAATGTTCCCATTACAGCCAGAAGCCGCCATGACTCTGATTCTGATGTTTCTCCACCAAGAAAGTGTGAGTTATATCTTTTGTCTTGGTTTTGCTTCCTTTTTCTTGAAGTAGTAGTGTGTCGCAAGACCATTGAAGGGCTTCCATTACAGCGAAGGGACGTCATGATTCTGACTCCGATATTTCGCCACCAAGAAAAGGTGTGTTAATCAGTACAAGCGTGTTTTCTCATGTGTCATTACTATGGTTCTGACCCATCACATTTTTTACTTCAAATATCTGTGAATCGTTAAAGAGATTTTGTTGCAGCAAAAGGTCGCCACGAATCTGATTCGGACATTTCACCCCCGAGGAGACGTGAGTGATTCTTTACTTTTTTTGCTGTGATATTGTTTGTCCACCTTTTCTTACTTGCCTTTTGCAATTTTTAATGTCCAAGGTAGCACGTGTTACGAAACAATCACAAGCCTCGTTTTCCTTGGTTGTGAAGGAGTCTTTGAAAGTTTCTTTATTTTACTTTATTTTTTATTGATCGAATTTTACAGTTGCCCTATGTTCCAGGTGAACCTGAAGCGCGTTCATCAAAAAGACGGCACGATTCTGACCGGTCAAAATCTCCCCAGCGTGGTAGGTCTCTATTTCCTTTTGGAATGGGACCTGGTTCACATTTTGTACTTCTAGACAAGTCATCGAGAGTAGAACGACGCCATGCAGACAGGTCGCCTTCCAGGAAACGTGGTGAGTCTATTACCGTATAGGATTCTGCTTGCGATAAGCTCACTATCGAATTTCCTTTTTAAGATGATTCTCAAGCACATTCCAAGAGGCGCCGACATGACTCCGATCAGTCACCACCAAGACAAACTGGTGGGTTACTTTATTTCACATTCTGGCGACACTCTTCTCCGACATTTCACCTCCTCGCAAACAGGTTGTGGGTAGTCCTCATGGGCAAAAGAGAGGCATACCTTGCCGGAATGAGCGTGCTTTTTACTGGTTCTCTACCTGAGTACCAACCTAGAGAACCTTGCCCGCACCTTGCGAGACATTTGTTTGGCAGATTTTTTTTGCTTTTCCCCTCCCTGCTTTTTTTCTTTTTCCAAAAATGGTGTTCAGAAAGATCATCGCGAAGAGGGCGAGACTCTAGCTCCGACGTTTCACCTCCTCGTAAGCAAAGTAAGCTTGTTATGTTAGTTTTTTTTTGATTTTGCTGATTAACATTTGTAACAGCGTGCTGTAATCAGGGTCGTACATTTATATTGTTGAAAACTTTATTAAGTATTTCAAATAAGTCGAGAAACCTGTATACTATGTATGTATTTCATATTAATCTGAATCTCACCTATTTGATAAATGCAGTCAAGCTAAGTACCCTCGAACATATATAGGCTTTCCAGGAACTTCTGGGAAGAACGTCTCGGTGAAGGTGGAAGTGGACTCAGATCAATCTCCCCCAAGGAAAGGTGAGCCTTCAACAATTAAAACATATTCTTTCGACGAGCGAATTCATTGTTTAAAGGACGAATTCACGCTGGAAAGGCAACCCATTTCAAATTAACTTAGGATGGTGAGTGGTACACGAAAGAAGGAAGAACCATGAGAAACGGCCCAGAACCCGAGAAATGGGACCCCTTCCTTGCCCGTTGATTTGAGCATTGATGCGACTCTCATCGCTGTGCCCTCTTCAACACTACGCTCTCTCACCTATCTAATCACTCGCCACGTATAGACCTGCGGCGAGTGATCAGATGATCGGTGGGCGTGCACTGGCCCACCGCGCCAAGATTGAGCCTTAATAGTTCGCGGGTCCTTCAACTAGGTAAATTACTCTTTTCTTCGACCTTCATTCTAATCGTGAATTCGTCTTTCAAGTGTAAGGTCTTAAGTATTACCTTTGGAGCGCATTTTTGGTCTATGAGATCAGTACTGCTAGTTCTTTGAAACGATTATAAATCATGATTTGGAATGAACGTTTCAGAGCAGCATACACGAAAACAGAGGGACCACGACTCTGACCAATCGCCACCTCGCAAACGTGGTAAGTTCTTGGCATCTATCTCTGCGATAGTATCACTGTCACTTTCGCAGTATCTTAAAACGAAAAATTCCATCTCTCGCTGGGATTCCTCCTCCTTCCACTCATTTTCTTCTTCCATTCACTTTTTCCTTTTCCGTCAACAATTGTTTTCGTGTTGTGACTGTAGCAATTTCTGTTCCTAGTTCCTTCACTAAGGTAGAAACGTTGAAGTCAGTGCTAAAAGAGTTTGGATTGCATGAATTGCATCGAGAAATCAGATCTGTGCCATCTCTGTAAACTTTCCAAACAATGTATTCTTGATGGCATTTAAAAACAACATCGACGTTATTATTTAAAGGCAAAAGTCGGGCTCAATAAGGGGGTATTATGGCGATTGAAACTGAGTATAGAGATGCGAAGTGGAACGACAGTGGAAAAAACTGAGAAAAACCGTCGACAAGGCCGTTAACAAAACCCTCTTTCCCACTAGCAGTGAAGGAGGCTGGCTTGGGAAGAGGCACGTACAAACAAGTTTTCTGGAGATGTCAGTCGTTCTATCGGTTGATACGGCAATCAACCTAGCTGATTTCACACGTTATGCCAGCCACGCACCACATCCGGAGGTGGGCGGTCGGAGCGCCTCCAGGCGGCGAAAGCGCTTAATACGTGCCCTGGAGCCTTATTACGGCGCCGTTTGGGATTCTGAGCATGGTAACGTCTCTGTGGGTGCGTAGCCATGCACAAAGACGACAAAAGGGATTGGTTTGGTCCACTGAGCCTGACTCGTGCCTTTAAGCCTAATTCCAGGAAAAACTGCTTGAAAAAAGTTCATTTTTTTAATGTACGCAAGCAACAAATAACGTTCGATATTCTTTTAATGCTCTCTTACCAGGGAGGGCCTTCAAATTTTCATTGAACTCTGGATGGATATCTCTAACGAAATTAATAGGAGGAAGAATCTATCACAAATATGGGGACCAAAAACTGTTACATGAACTTTAAGCAAATTGTGAGCAGTCACAGATGGCCAACGACATAAAGTAAAATTGTGACACCGAATGGGCGCCAAGATATCCCCTGTGTCGAAAGTGGATTCCATCTTCGTGATCAAATTTCCAAATATAAGTGATGGTCAGAAAAATCAAGGATCTGACGCGGATAGATTAGCTCGTCTCATCGCGCTGTACAGGAGGGAAGTCGTCGCTTGGGGAAATGCCTTTCTCAACGGCCTCCTGCCATGTTTCAAATGAAATTGAGAATCTGATTTTCGATATCCATTACTATTTGATAACTTTCGTAATGCGGATTGCCATTCATCACTCCTTTTTATGAGCACCACATCAATTTCAGTTTCTCTTTTTCAACAGTAGAGCTTTCAGAGCGTTCCGTTCGAAAAAGAAGATGGTTTCTGATTCTGACCAATCACCACCTCGCAGGCGTGGTTAGTGTAATTTTTTTTATTTCATGTAATCATCTGAGTTGTCGTTGCCTCTGATATTATTTTCCTGCCCTTTCTTTTTTTTTCTTTTTTTTTCTTTTCATTGTGTCTTTTAGCCGCGTCCTTCGAGAACGAGTGGAATTTTACTTCAGCTTCTCGCTTTCGCTGTTATAATTTAAGCGAAGCCTAGTACAACCGCGATGGCTCTGGCACATTAACTCGGTTAATCCTATTCGCTATTTAGATCGGTCGTCCCAACACCCTGATGTTAAAACTGAAATCGATTCCGATCAATCTCCCCTAGAAACGGTTTGTGGATTCCTTTTTTGAGGTGTAGTTGCGCACCTAAAAGCGGGTGGGGTGGGCAAATAGGCAGACTTACGCTCTTTCAGAGAACGGGTTTTAATGTAAGTTTTGTTTCTTTGCTTCACGTCATTCATCTGTGATCAAATCACTTCGTCATTCGATTAGATTTTTATTCTTTTTACAGAATCGTTCTCGAGGGCGAACAAGAGGCTCAGATTCAGACTTATCCCCACCTCGAAAACATGGTAGGTCCCTACTCTACTTGTAGCACTTTGTTGTTTCTCATTTGTGATTTGCCACATTCTCGTGTCATAGTCTATAATAGTGCTCTAAATCATATGTTGTTTATGCGAAAGGCTTTTGTAACATAATTAACATTACGTATTTTAAGGGAAACCTTCATCTCACCGACGTGAATCAGAAAAGCCTCGAGAAAGACACATAGCAACACCTGAACGACTCGGTAAAGAAGCTCAGCGAACTCTCGACGGGAAAGTAAGGATATTGTTCATACAATGCTGTGCTTTAGTTCTTTTACTTTAGAGATGTTTTCACTAAATCTTTAAATATCTAGATTTGTTTTTACAAATATGGAAAAGTCCATTTAGCATAGGATTGAGCTCTTTGATGATCTGTTGAATAGTTTGTTTCCCTTAATAGTCACTTGAGAAAGCTCAGTTCTCCTTTGGAAAGTAGAAAAAGAAAACTTATTGATTTCCTTATATTGAATGCATTATAACTCAGTTTTATTACATTCAGGTATAGCTGGATTGCAATCAGCGGCCGATCTTAAAAAAGAAGCAGAAAAGCTCCGTGAACGTGAAGCAAAGGTAGTTGTGTCATTATTTAATTTTTACTTGTATAATTACTTCATGTTGGCGATATGTTGTTCACTCTTTCATATGCCTCTTTTAGATGTTCGAGGAAATGGATGCTTCGATAAGTGGCCGAAATGCAGAAACTACCGTGCGGCAAAAACAAGTGCGAAAAGGTAGGTATAGGTGAATTTTTGTATTGTTATAGATTCTATCTCTGTATTCAGGACGTGAGAAACCAGAAGACAAAGAGAGAAAGGAGCGTGAAGCTAAAAAACAAGCGGAACTTCAAGCAAAGTACGAGCTGTGGAACAAAGGAGTGGCTCAGGCAGAGCGGGTAAGATTGCCGATGTTTTTTGCTATCTGTGGGTGGTTCACTATCTAATAAAGATAAAGCATTTGCCGTTGATCAATCCCTTTTTGGGATGCGGCACGCATTCTACTTCCATTTGTACATTCGTAGTGGCGTTTGAATGCGATGTGGCCTATACAATGACTTGCGGGGGCCAGCCGATGTACAAGTCAGTGTTTTTATCCTCCCAGACAAGTCTGGTACCAATTAACCGACCCCGGAGGGATGGAAGGCTTGGTTGGCCCGGGCGACTCACGACCCAGGATTTGATCCCGGACCGCTCGCGTGGTAAGCGTGCCACTTGCCACTACACCACTTCCGCCCTCTGCGCAAATTAGCTGAAAAATATTATTATATTACTCGAAGATTGTTCTCCTTGTTATTCATGGGTTAGTTATTTATTCATTTATTTTGTTCTTCTAAAATAAGATGTGTGTCATCCTGGAATCGGGGTATGAAAAAATTAAGATGAGCAAATTGAGTTTAAAGTTTTTCGTCCTGCAACTTATCCCTTTGCATCATGACTAGGGTCACTTCAATTGCAGCGAGCAGAACAACTGGACGAGATGGCTCGTGTAGCAGCTGAGCCATTAGCGAGAATGGCTGATGATGTTGAAATGAACCGGCATCTGAAAGAAGAGATTCACGAGGAGGACCCAATGGCAGTGATGTTGAAGAGCAAGAAACGAAAGCAAGCGCTCAATCGTGGAGATCTGGGTGAGTCACAGATGCCGGTTGAAATACTCACTGCATTGATACTGCTTCACATTACAGTGTATCCGACGTATCAAGGCGAGTGTCCGCCAAATCGCTTTGGAATACGGCCCGGCTATCGTTGGGACGGAGTGGACCGGTCGAACGGTTTCGAGGCGCGACTAGCACAAGCGAAGAATAGAAAGAATGCTCAAGAAAGAGAATACTATCAAAATCTCCAGACGTATGAGTAGTTGATTTCCTGATTATGTGATTGCATTCATCTTTACGTTGCATCGGATTACCTCAACACTAAAAAACAATTTCTGTACTGTTAATTTAATTGTTGTATTTGAAACAATAAATATACAAATCAGTCCTCTTTTGTGCTGTCGTCATCAAATCATTAAAACAACAATCCCAGCAGGGTTCTTACCATTCAGCACTAATGGTGTGGAACGATGCGCTAGCCCTAGCCAAGAACATAAGAAAAGTGAGAAAACAGAAATCTTGGAAAGCCGCGAAAGGGAGTTGAACGCCTCCGAACTCCTTTCACGGCTTTCCAAGGAGAGTTTTCTGTTCAGTCACACTTCTTATGTTCTTGACTAGGACTCGTTCTATACCATTAGTGTCAAAGGTAAAAATCCTGCTGGGACTGTTATTTCAAGCATAGTATACGGTGGTTTTCAGGTTTCCATTAGGTGAGCCGCGAACTGGTTTGAACTGAGGACGGTAAAGGTATTTGCTCGGTCTGTTAATAATAAGGCTACTCTAATGACCTTTCTTGTTAGTCGGAGAGCGGAACTCGTGAGGCGACACTTC